GTGATTATTTTTTGGCTGAGGGGGTAAAGCTCCAGACCTTCATGAATCTGTGTCGCCGTCAGATTGTGGAGTCTGGTCGACCATGCCCTCATCGCCCGCTGCAACATGGAGGAGGCGGTCCGCAGCGTGGCGTTCAGCCTGGATGGATCCCAGCTGGCTCTGGGTATGAAGGACGGATCCTTCACCGTCCTGAGAGTCAGGTAAGGAAGACACTGACAGATCGGACTACAACCTGGCGGAAATGTTCCCTCTGTGAGGTAAACTGGATGTTCTTACCCCTCAGAGACATGACGGAGGTCGTCCATATCAAGGACAGGAAGGAGGTGATCCATGAGATGAAGTTCTCTCCAGATGGATCGTATCTCGCTGTCGGCTCCAATGATGGACTGGTGGATATCTACGCAGTCGCTCAGAGATACAAGAAGGTTCGGGATGAATCACAGGAACTGAGATGATTACAATTAAATCTAAAACTACTTTACAAGACGGACAGATCAGATAAATAGACAGAAATGTATAATCAGATCAGTCCAGCCTCATAAACATTAGAAATCCAGGCCATACTTTTCAATTTGATCCTAGTTACATGACGATAAAGGAACTTTTAGTTCATTTTACTAAATGTAAAAATAAAAAACATTTCCATTATTAGGTAATATTAGCTTTGCAGCAGTAATTTCTCTGACTGGTCACAGGTGGGAGAATGCAGTAAGTCCAGCAGCTTCATCACACACCTGGACTGGTCTGTGGACGGTAAAATCCTGCAGAGCAACGACGGAGCAGGAAAGCGCCTCTTCTACTGGATGCCCAGTGAGTCCAGACCGCAATAGGTTCATAGAGACCCGAGTGTAAAACTGAACTCCTTTAAACATCAGCACCTGACCAAACCTGCAGTGACTGAGGCTGCGTTTAAGACATTCAGTTTTTATCTGCTGGGTTCCTGGTTTTATTCACGGTTTATTCCATTATTCTTCTACTGACTTTAACACTCAGTAATTTGCAGTGAAAAGGAAATTGATCCGTTTTTCCTCCTGCAGTGGGGAAACCAATCATCAACAAAGAGGAGGTGAAAGGTCAGCGCTGGGCCTCGTGGAGCAGCGTCCTGGGGTCTGAGGTCAGCGGAATTTGGCCAAAGTACTCAGACTCCATCACGATTAACGCCGTGGACGCCAACCTGAGCGCTGCTGTGCTAGTCACAGGAGATGACCTCGGTCTGGTGAAACTCTACCGCTTTCCATGCCTCCGGAAAGGTCTCTGCTCTTTTCCCTGCAGCTTCCGGGTTTATCTTGGTTCATTTTTATTAATTCCTACTGTTGCCCCACAAGGAGCCAAATTCAAGAAGTACATCGGTCACTCGGCCCACGTCACCAACGTCCGCTGGTCCAACGATCTGCAGTGTGTCCTCACCACAGGAGGCGCCGACCACGCCCTCTTCCAGTGGAGGTTTCTACCTGAGGAGGTGATGAATGGAGGCCTGGATCTAAACATACAAGGTAGGACAAGAATACCAGAATACGCTTAAGTAAGGATTGCTTTTGATTATTCTCTACTTTCTTTTGTACTTTCATAGCATCCAAGGTTTAAATTCAGTAAATGTTTAGAAAAAGATTTTCAATGCATATTTTCTAGTATGAGTTACATTTATACTTTGATATTTTTAATGTCAAGTCATCAATTAATGCTTCCAAAATTGTTTTCAGGCAAATTTCAGTAAATTATATTCCTCTCAGTAGCAACACATCTTAGATGATGACATTATGATGAAAACTTCATGTGTTGGTGGAGATTCCCAGTCATCAGTCATTTCAAAAAAAGTTAAAAATCAATTCACTGAACTTTGTTTCCAAGTTTGAAGACATTTCCCTTCCCATCCAGGAAGCTTTATTTATTAAATATGTCTGGATTAGCGCTGAGTTCCAGGCTTTTATAGGGTAGCCCAACAAAAGCCTTGTAATGGCTTAGAAAACATGCAAATTGAAAGTGGAAAACCAGCTCCACGCCTTAATAATGGGAGTCGTTGAGGTTGTTATTGGCCTGCAATACCAGATACTGGTCCATTCCTCTGAAAAGGCGGTCGTTAAGAGTCATTGTTGCTCTGGCTGACTTGGCGAGATATTTTGTTCCCCTGCATAGCGATGGGGGTTGAGATGGTATTGGGAAGGAATCGACTCTATTGCTGCATTGTAGGTTTTTGAAAGCTGAAATCTGAGCCCCTCCCCATTTAAGGTTGGTTTTTCTTTCTTAACATAGATGGCTTCCTTCACGCCCCTCTCAAACCACCTGTCTTCTTTGTCCAAAATGTGAACATTCTGGTCCTCCAAAGAATGTCCTTTGTCCATCAGCTGTAGATGTGCTGCAGAGTCTTGTCCAGAGGAGGGCGCTCTTCTGTGTTGGGCCTTGCGTCTGTGGAGAGGTTGTTTGGTTTCTCCAACATTAAGATCAGAGCATTCCTCACTGCATTGACCTGCAGACACCACTCTGCTCAGATTAGGTCTTTAGGATGAACTAGTCTCTGTTTCAGGGTCTGATTGGTTTGAAATGTTCTGGCATTTTATGTTTGGAGAAAATCCTCTTGAATTTTTCAGAGACTCCAACAACATGATGGGATGGAGATGTTTTTGTGTTTAATCTTCTCAGCGTTATGTTCTGCTGCATATCTTTTGGATTTCCTTTCTGACTTGACAAACGTCCAGTTTGGGCATCTGGAGGTTTGGAGAGCATCTTTGATGTGTTTCTGTTCTTTGTGCTAGGGTAGGGACATGCTCGGCCCACTGTTGGAAGGTTCTGATTACTGAAAGTTTGTGTTCCAGTGGGCGGTGTGAGTCAAAAAGCAGATATTGATCTGTGTGAGTGGATTTCCAATACACTTCAATGTTGAGGTTTCCATCTCCTTCCATGTTCACCAAACAGTCCAGAAAAGGTAGCTTGTTGTTGTTGGCATCCTCTCTGGTCAGTCGAGTTGATGCGTCCTGTAAAAGCTTCCACTTCATGTGTTTGTTGTGGTTCAACCCAGGCAGAATGTGTGGTAGCTTAAAATGGTAGAATTCAGAAAGAGGAACCCTGGAAATTCATCCAATTTTGTCCTCCGGAGGGGGGGAAACATTTGTTGATAAATCAAATTGTCTAAAATTGTACAAATCCAGCATGACTTCACCACAGACATTCTCTGCATGACCAGATGTTCTCTTGAAATCTTACGGAAATGTGTATGTGCTAGCCAATGCTAGCCAATGCTAGCCAATGCTAGCCAATCCTTGCCAATGCTGGCCAATGCTAGCCAATGCTAGCCAATGCTAGCCAATGCTNGCCAATGCTAGCCAATGCTAGCCAATGCTGGCCAATGCTGGCTAATGCTAGCCAATGCTGGCCAATGCTAGCCAATGCTAGCCAATGCTTGCCAATGCTAGCCAATGCTAGCCAATGCTGGCCAATGCTGGCCAATGCTAGCCAATGCTGGCCAATGCTAGCCAATGCTAGCCAATGCTGGCCAATGCTAGCCAATGCTAGCCAATGCTAGCCAATGCTTGCCAATGCTAGCCAATGCTAGCCAATGCTAGCCAATGCTGGCCAATGCTGGCCAATGCTGGCCAATGCTAGACAATGCTGGCCAATGCTGGCCAATGCTGGCCAATGCTGGCCAATGCTAGACAATGCTGGCCAATGCT